CGCATTATGGTGGACTGGACCTACCTGGTTGGCACTGGACGAGACAGCATGGCCCAGCTCAGAGGTCCACATCGCAGAGGATGACCTTCCTGAACAGCGCACCACCAGCCTGATGACCAAGGGCTCCGTCGTCGTCGAACCGGACATCCTTCTTCGGTTCTCTGCGCTTCATCGGCTGCTACGCGTTACGGCTTGGTGTCGTCGATGGCTCAACGTGGCGAGCCGGGAGGTCACACCTGGTTGTCCACTACACCCCGACGAGCTGGACGCCGCCCTACTCCAGTGGCTTCGAGTAGTACAGGCGCTCCACTTCCCGGACGAGATAGCTGCTGCCACCGCAGGACGCTCCGGCCCACCACGCAGTTCACTGATCAAGCTGAATCCGTTCATCGACGACCAAGGTGTACTGCGCGTTGGAGGACGTCTCAAACACGCACTGCTGCCCTACGACGAGAAGCACCCGGTGATCATACCGCCGGCCTCCTGGATGACACGACTGCTGATCGAGTCCTGCCATCGTCGCTCTCTGCACGGCGGCGTCCAGATGACACTCGGTCTGCTTCGCCTTCGGTTCTGGGTACCACGCGGAAGGACCGTCGTCAAGCAGCAACTGCATCGGTGCGTCACTTGCACTCGCTGGCGCGCTGCCACGCCACAGCCTCCAATGGGCCACCTTCCTCGGGACCGAGTGACGCCAACTCGACCTTTCTTGAGCACTGGACTGGACTACGCGGGACCAATTTCCATCCGGACCAGCAAGGGACGCGGACACCGCTCACAGAAAGGATACATCGCGGTCTTCGTCTGCTTTTGGTCGAAGGCCATCCACCTCGAGGTCGTCTCGGATTACAGCTCCGAGGCCTTCATCGCCGCCTTACGCCGCTTCGTCTCTCGCAGAGGACTGTGTACGGACGTCTACAGCGACTGCGGCACAACATTCGTTGGCGCCGATCGCACCCTGCGGGAGCTCTTCAAGGCGTCGACCTCCGAGGGCCTTCACATCGCCCGCGCCGCCAACACTCAAGGGATCCGCTGGCATTTTAATCCGCCAGCGGCCCCTCACTTCGGTGGTCTTTGGGAGGCTGCCGTGAAATCCACTAAATTTCACCTCCGCCGAGTAATCGGCGACACCACGCTCACTTTTGAGGAGCTTAACACACTCCTCACACAAATCGAGGCGTGTCTTAATTCTCGTCCGTTGCAGGCTCTGTCAGACGATCCAGACGACACTTCAGCACTCACTCCAGGGCACTTCATCATCGGCGCGCCTCTATTAGCTATACCTGAGCCGTCACGGATCGGACAATCATCATCCACGCTGTCACGCTGGCATCACCTGCAGCTGATGCGAGACCATTTTTGGCAGCGGTGGTCGGCTGAGTACGTGCACGGGCTCAACCCCCGCACCAAATGGGTCAAGGCCGAGGCCGCACCTCACGTCGGGGACCTTTGCATCATCCGCTCGGAGCTCACCCCTCCGACTCGATGGCCTCTTGCAAGGATCACGAGACTGCATCCCGGGGACGACGGTGTCGTCCGCGTGGTCTCAGTACGCACCGCCACATCCGAATTCGTACGCCCGATCATTAAATTGGTCATGCTCCCGGGCGCGGATCGTATTCCGGACACGAATAACGCGGACACGCCTCACGTAACGTTCGTATCACGACATCATTCACATTTATCACATCATACACTGTATCATTTGTCACACCTCACTCTCATCATGCACCACCGCACTTGCAATTGTTCCATAATCACCACACTGCACTACACGTTCGTCATTTCACATCAAACACACACTCGTTACTGTCTCAGCTGATCATCACATTCCACGCGATCACCACGTGTTTCCGCGGCTCAGCTGATCGATTCGAATTACACGCGATCATCACGTGAATCTCGCCGCGCCGGCCGCCTGCCCCACCATCGATCACTATCGACTTGCGATTCCGCGACCGAAATACCATAAACATGTTGTCACTGCGCGACAAGGCGGGCGGGAATGTTTGAAACGCATAATAGAAACTACATGTAATAAAATATTATATCTTAAATAGAATATTCTAGAATATTCGCTTCCGATCGCAAGTCAACAGGCATATCGTTTTTATATGTTTTTTTTTTGAAAACATATCGCGACATAAATTATCCTGTCGTACAAAAACACGCTCGAAATATAAACAATTAACGGTGTCGCAACCGTTCTGCCGAATAATTATATTTTATTGAGCATGCGCGGCTTCTCACGGGCGCCTCGTTTCGCCAATAATCATCGTGATCGCCAGCTCGCGCATGCTTTCTAACAGCCGTTGTTCTGTCAATTTTGACAGCGGCCAATTACGCGTAATACACTCAGGTCACCTCGCGCAACTTTAAAAAGACGCAAAATTATTGGCGCTTCCCGAAAAGGTGGGTTTTTTGCGGAAACCCATAAAAGAGAGCTCGCACCCGAAATCACAGCTTTATCGCTTTTCCGTCGTGAAAACATATCGCAAACCGCTTATCAGATACACCGCAAAATTCGTTGACGACCGCCGCTATTCCGCACTTTGATTTTGATTCCGATTTCACTGTAAAATAATTAAAGTTTTGTAATAAGTTTGTTATAGTATTTTGTCAATACGTGTGTGATATTATTAAAGTCCTTGTTTTACAAAAAAGTGACTCATCCTTTCGTGCAGCGCGATCCTTTGCTCAAGCAGCGCGTTCGTGAACAGTAACATATTTTTAACCTTTTCGATACACACATGGGTATTTCGTGTTCGATCGATTTCTATTTATTGAAATTTCTTACTAATGTACGGATCGTGAATCGGCCGAGAGTGCAAAAGTTTGGCGCACGAGGCGAAGCCGAGTGTGACAATTCGCACGTATATATATATATAAAAGTAAGAAAGGAAACGGCTCAAAATTTAGAAAAATCACAAAACACGTGTTCGATCATTTCAAAGGCTACTTTTTTAAGGAGATTGGAGAAGTCGCTCAAAGGGGCTCTCCAAGGAGTACAAAGGAGATTAGTTCCCTAACTTTAAAATTTTAAATGGGACCCTCTATTTTTTATTGCATATTTTTATAGCTTGTCTTAAAAGCTTTTGAAAATACTATAATAAATTATTTTTTTATTAAAAATATTTTGAATTATAAAGCTTGAAAGTTGCAGTATTTTGACATAAATATAAAATATCTTGTAAAATATTTATTTTTCGATAATCTTATCTTAATATTTTTTTCAGAATAATAAAAGAAATCAGTTAGTGTAAAGAAAACTCTTAAAAATACTATTTTTTTCTAAAAAGTCAAAAAAGTAAAAAAGGTGTTAAATTTGCGTTAAAAACTATATCTTTAAAATCTTACAAAAAGTAATATCTAAAAATTGCACTAAGCAAAAATAAAAATTTATAAAAATATTTTAATTTAAAAATGTTGCACAAAATAGTTGTTTTAATTTCCTACAAAAATAATAATATTTAAAAATTACAATATTAAAACTTAATGATATTAAAACTTGCGACAAAACAATTAAAAGATTTATTTAAAAAATTTAGCACTTGCTAAATTTCAATTAAAATTACAATTAAAACTTAAATTGTTGTTTAATTTAATACAACAATTACAATTGTTAAATTGTTGTTTAATTTATATTAATATATTTAAAAATTTTTATTTTTATGTAGCGCAATTTTTAGATATCATTATTTTTTGTAAGATTTTAAAAATATAGTTTTTAACACGAACTTAGCGACTTCTCCGACCTCCTTAAAAAGTAGTCCCTTGAAACAATCGAACACATGTTTTGTAATTTTTCCAAATTTTGAGCCGTTTCCGAAATATAGAGGTAAGGCGAGACTTTATGGAAAATCTGTATACACACACACACACACACATATATATATATATATATATATATATATATATATATATACATACATACATACATACATACATACTACATATACACACATCAATAAAAAAATTACAGACAAGCGTAAAAGATGATTATTAAAAGTTATGCTTATTTCAGATTTGACTCAAATATAAATATACAGAATATATAGACTTCAAAAATATTTATAGAAAACATGCGTAACAAATTTTATGTAAACAATTTTAATATCAAACAGCATGTATATACATCTGGAGATGTTCGGAAAACGTTTCGAGTCCTATCATCCCAAGAATTCTTCGAGATGTCTTCTAACCATCTTTTTGATGTGCATAATGCTTAATATGCGACACGTAGCAAAAATTAAAATTGTTATAACTTAAAAAAATAAGTTAACCAGTTTAGAAGTCAGAAGTTTATCGTATATATATATATATATACCTTCAGAATATCTTTTAGATACATATGTTGTATGAGAAAAAGATAATTTCCATTAATATTACAAGATTTTAACCTATTTTTACAAAAAGAAATAGCCTTGTTATACAGGGTGTCTTTTAATTGATGAAAAACCTGTTAATGGCAGATTCTTGAAATCATTCGGAAACGATTTTTCTTCAACGAAAATGTCGAGCGACATCATCATTTTTTATAAATTTCCAATTTTGTCATCAAATATGTTTGTAATTAAGCTTTAAATTATATAGTAAACTCTATTTAAAATTAATGAAAAAATATAGTTTTGATAATATTTTGAGTCCAAAAAGTTAACTTTGCGAAAAACACCTTTCTTCGCTTATAAATCTGAAATTAATATCTCGACATTTCTTTTCGCTGAGAAAAAGTTGTCTCCAAATGATCTCAAGAATTTATCAATAATAAGTTTTTCACAAATTACATTGTATATTAATAGTATATGATACATTATTTGACATTCTATGTCAAATTGGAATACAAAAATATACAAACATAAAAAAAATATATTTTTTAAATTATCTATAAACTCTATGTCATATTTGAGTCAAATAACTCTTTCATATATTTTTAATAAGCATTTTTTTTGACAAACGTGTACATAATTTAAAAATTTTTTCTTAATTAAACATACCTCGATTTTCTGTATAACAATCGTTGATATCGATGAGCAGAGACACTCTTATATATATCCTCTTTCTCACTAATCGTCGTATTAAACCGGGAAAACTTCAATATTCCGCGATCTGTTAAGGTCAAGGTTATGCACACACGGGGCACGAGAATATTTCCTATAAAGATCAATGTAATTAAACAAATAAAGTAATTGGATTTTTGTTAGTCGTACAAAAATTAATTATAATTCAATGATTAACTGGCCCATAAAAATGTATTTCTTTTATAATACCAACCCACACAACATGCATAAAAATGTGTGTGTGTGTTTCACTTGACATAGAATATTTCATATATACATGAAAAAAATTTCTTAGTAAAAACTGCTATGATATATGTAGCTGCAAAAATCATCAAAATTATTTTTTAAGGGCTATGTAAAGCTGTAAAAATTGCATAAATTAAGGTAATTTTTAGTTTTAAAAAGCACTTTACTTTAAAAATAGTCCTGATGGTCCCCAACTACTGCACACCATAATAATTTTTATTATAAAATATTTTCCGTGTTGTAATATATATTAACAAGATTTGTTTTGTTTTTAAAAATAGTTTAAAATTTTTGCAATTTTAATGAGTCTTTGTCATATAATGTGCGTATTTAAAAGACATTTAAAGGACCTTTCAAAGATTTTATGTGGCTCACATATATCTTTGGGATTTTCTGAACATCTTTTGGATATGCATACTGTGTGAATTTTCATAAAAATAAATAATATATACATATATTTGAAAGCAAAATAATATATACATATACGCATATTAGAAAACAGTCAATTATACAAAAATCATAATATAATACAGAGAACAATATTCAAATAAATATTACTTGTTTCAAATATATCATAAGTTTTTATATCCACAAGTATATCACAAATTCATCACAAGCATTAAAATTCATAATATATTCTGAATTCTATTAAGCGTAGTATTTTTATCAAAAATATTAAATTGAAACAAAAATATTTGGATGTCTTAGTACGTTAAGTAAATTTGATTTTTTTTATTATTTTTGAAAAGAAAATAAATTCTTTAAAGTGATAATAAAAATTTCTATTTGTAACAATTTTAAAGCTATTGTCAAGATTAAATTTTTGTTAACCCTCTGTTAAACGCAATGTACAAATAAGTAATTATTTTAATATACTATTCCATATTACTAATACTTCTATTTTTTATTTATTATAATATTTATTAATTTGTTTTTTGCTATTTTTTATATACTTTTATGCTAAGGTTAGCTAATAACGTTAAGGAAAATAGGAAAAAATTGATAATAAAGGACAAATATTGCTAATAAAGAGTTAAAGAAAACTATTATTTAAAAGAATTATTTATAAGAATGATATTAAACTGAGTAATCACATTTCTTGGCAAATAGTGTAATTTTTCTCTGTATATAGTGTGAAGATAGAAAATAGATTTAAGTTTTCTTTAATTGTACATACCTCGATTTTCTATATAACTATCGCTGATATTGATGAGCAGAGACTTTTTGTATTTATCCTTTTTCTCACTAATCGTCGTATTAAACCGGGAAAAATCCAATATTCCGCGGTTAAAATAAAGGTTATGTAGACACGTGGTACGAGGATTATTCCTATAAAAGAATAATATAATTATATAAATAAAAAAACTGGATTTTCGTCAGCCGTACAAAAATTAATTAATTTAGCGATTGACTGGCCCATAAACTGAGTAATCACATTTCTTGGCAAATAGTGTAATTTTTCTCTGTATATAGTGTGAAGATAGAAAATAGTTTTAAGTTTTTGTTAATTGTACATACCTCGATTTTCTATATAACTATCGCTGATATTGATGAGCAGAGACTTTTTATATTTATCCTCTTTCTCACTAATCGTCGTATTAAACCGGGAAATATCCAATATTCCGCGGTTAAAATAAAGGTTATGTAGACACGTGGCACGAGGATTATTCCTATAAAAGAATAATATAATTAAATAAATAAAAAAACTGGATTTTCGTCGGCCGCACAAAAATTAATTAATTTAGCGATTGACTGATCCATAAAAACGCATTTCTTCCATAATATCAATCCACACAACATGCGTAACTCTAATCAAAAACCGTGAAAATATTTGCCACGTGTTATGCATGTCTTACAGACGTATTAGAGCCGTCTTTAATACGTCTTGAAGACATGCATAACACGTGGCATAAAATATTTCCACGGTTTTCGATTAGAGTTACGCATTTAATATACCACAAAAATATTTTTATACATGTATAATATAATAGATAATTATATGTATTATTTGGGGTTACGTTCCAAAACGTACTCTCCAAGATAATTTTTTTCAATGCAATGCAAGAGAGAGTAACGTATATTATTGCATAAAATTTTCTTTGTTGAGTTGTGGAACGTAAACATGGTAAGAGAAAATACGTATTTTTTTCACAATGACTTACCTCAATTCAACGTGAATAAGCTATTATAATAATAGCCAAGTTTTTTCTTCACTCTCCACTATGCACAAATAATATCGTCGATCACTTACAAAATCTGTACGAACCGTCCACCATGTATTCGTAAAAACAAGTGAACACGAGATCGGAAGATGAACAACACACTGCTAGAAGAAATGGCGCGACCGCGCTGGCGCCGGCGCCTGCGTCAGCGTCAGCGCCAGCGCCGACGCCAGCGCATACTACGAATGCTTTCGGAGACGCTAAACAGCGTCGGTCTATCTTCATTTAATTTTTAGTGAGTGACAAAGATAAAATGATGCTATCAGCGCTAATAGCGTCTCCTCGAACGCAGCCTACGGCAAGCACCCGTGTCCGTGTTATCTCGGTGCTAGCCATAGACTTATATGAATAGAATTTTTTTCTTAAATATATATATTCGTAATATTAGTCGTACCAATTTCATCCCATTCACTTCAAAATAATATAAATAATAACAAATAAAAATAGGTGAGAGGTGAGAGGACAAGGACTTAAATTCGATAACTGAGTCGAGTCAAAAAGATGATATTACTAAAAATGTTTCTTTTTTATAAAATATTATAAAATATTATATTTAATACTTATTATATGGTTTAGACGTCTTATGGCTGTCTACAAGATATATCAGTAAGACACCTTGATCTGCTCAAAAGTTAATACAGGATGATGAGTATCTTGTCATTGAGAATATCTTGTCAAAAATGCATAGGCGATCAAATCGCACTTTCTATAATAAGCCCATTTTACAATAACAATATAAGCAATACATGTAAGGAATATAAGAAATAATAAGATATATGATTCTTACTTATTTCTTACTTATTACTCTATACCGCTTACTGCCATTGTAAAAATAACTTAATATATTTTATAGATATATTAATGGACAAATTTGAAAGCAATATTATCTTTCATAAACGTCTCGTTAGGGTGCCGTCACATGCGGCGTAATTTGCGTAAGCGTAACTTGCGCCGACCAATTTAATCACATCGTCTCATTTAAATATTACTTTCCGCTTATATTAAAATGATACGATGCGATTGGTCAGCGCAAGTTATGCCGTATGTAATGATACTCTTACTTTTTCTTGTTCACATATTTCTTAGACGTCTTATGACTTCGTATGATCTAATTAGCATCAAGTTAAGTCGACGTCCATAATTAGGTTTCGCGGCTATTGCAACTGGCAACTGAACATTGGCAACGCATTGTAGAACCTCCTTAAAATATAATTTTCTTTTCAAACTTGTTCATTAATGTATCTATAAAATATCTTATAGAAAGCGATTTCATCGTCTATGCACTATTATGACAGAATATTCTTAAATCATAAGTCGTCTTATATTAACGTTGAATAGATCAAAGTCTTACTGGTATCTCTTATGGACAGCTATAAGACGTCTAAAAAATATGTGAAAGGGAAAAAGTAACGAGACGTCTAAGAGAGATGATTTTGCTTTTGAATTTGTCGATTGGTACATCTATGGGACGCTTTTTAAAGAATGCGCTTTACTCGTCTATGCATTGTTATGACAGAATATCCTCAAATCATTTTACATTAACCTTAGATAGATTAAAGTATTACTGGTATCTCTTATGGACAGCCATAAGACGTCAAAAAAATATGTGAAAAAAAGGAGTAACGAGACGTCAATAAGATATGATTTTACTTCCGAAATTGTCGATGGAGATATCTATGGGATCTCTTATAGAGAGTGCGCTTTGCTCGTCTATGCACTGTTATGACAGGATATCCTCAAATCATCCTACATTAACCTTGGATAGATCAAAGTCTTATTGGTTTCTCTTATGGACAGCCATTAGACGTCAGAAAAATATGTGAAAAAAAGGAGTAACAAGACGTCTATAAGATATGATTTTACTTCCGAATTTGTCGATGGAGAGATCTATGGGATGTCTTATAGAGAGTGCGCTTTGCTCGTCTATGCACTGTTATGACAGGATATCCTCAAATCATCCTACATTAACCTTGGATAGATCGAAGTCTTACTGGTTTCTCTTATGGACAGCCATAAGACGTCTGAAAAATATGTGAAAAGAAAGGAGTAACAAGACGTCTAAAAGATATGGTTTTACTTCCGAAATTGTCGATGGAGATATCTATGGGATGTCTTATAGAGAGTGCGCTTTGCTCGTCTATGCACTGTTATGACAGGGTATCCTCAAACCATCCTACATTAACCTTGGATAGATCGAAGTCTTACTGGTTTCTCTTATGGACAGCCATAAGACGTCTGAAAAATATGTGAAAAGAAAGGAGTAACAAGACGTCTAAAAGATATGGTTTTACTTCCGAAATTGTCGATAGAGATATCTATAGGATGTCTTATAGAGAGTGCGCTTTGCTCGTCTATGCACTGTTATGACAGGATATCCTCAAATTATCCTACATTAACCTTGGATAGATCGAAGTCTTACTGGTTTCTCTTATGGACAGCCATAAGACGTCAGAAAAATATGTGAAAAAAAGGAGTAACAAGACGTCTATAAGATATGATTTTACTTCCGAATTTGTCGATGGAGATATCTATGGGATGTCTTATAGAGAGTGCGCTTTGCTCGTCTATGCACTGTTATGACAGGATATCCTCAAATCATCCTACATTAACCTTGGATAGATCGAAGTCTTACTGGTTTCTCTTATGGACAGCCATAAGACGTCTGAAAAATATGTGAAAAGAAAGGAGTAACAAGACGTCTAAAAGATATGATTTTACTTCCGAAATTGTCGATGGAGATATCTATAGGATGTCTTATAGAGAGTGCGCTTTGCTCGTCTATGCACTGTTATGACAGGATATCCTCAAATCATCCTACATTAACCTTGGATAGATCGAAGTCTTACTGGTTTCTCTTATGGACAGCCATAAGACGTCTGAAAAATATGTGAAAAGAAAGGAGTAACAAGACGTCTAAAAGATATGATTTTACTTCCGAAATTGTCGATGGAGATATCTATAGGATGTCTTATAGAGAGTGCGCTTTGCTCGTCTATGCACTGTTATGACAGGATATCCTCAAATCATCCTACATTAACCTTGGATAGATCGAAGTCTTACTGGTTTCTTTTATGGACAGCCATAAGACGTCTGAAAAATATGTGAAAAGAAAGGAGTAACAAGATGTCTAAAAGATATAATTTTACTTCCGAAATTGTCGATGGAGATATCTATAGGATGTCTTATAGAGACTGCACTTTGCTCGTCTATGCACTGTTATGACAGGATATCCTCAAATCATCCTACATTAACCTTGGATAGATCGAAGTCTTACTGGTTTCTCTTATGGTCAGCCATTAGACGTCTCTGAAAAATATGCGAAAAGAAAGAAGTAACAAGACGTCTATAAGATATGATTTTACTTCCGAATTTGTCGATGGAGATATCTATGGGATGTCTTATAGAGAGTGCGCTTTGCTCGTCTATGCACTGTAATAACAGGACATCCTCAAATCATCCTATATTAATCTTGAGTAGATCAAAGTCTTACTGATAGCTCTTATGGACAGTCATAAGACGTCTTGTCCTGCCGAGACAGAAATTGGACAATATTAAGATGATCCCGGGATCAATTTTGCTGTGTGGGATATAGGACGATTATCGAGAAAATTTTTTTGTCGTGCCATATCGTTTTCAGTTAGTTCTTTTTTATTTTGTGAGTAACTATTTACAATAGCGCAATCGTCATCTTGTTCCGCACTTATAACAGTAACAGGAGTGACAGTTGCTTTCATAGATAAACTATTATATTCGCAACATTGACTTTCTTTGATAATATTTTTGTTTTCTGTATTACATTGTCGACAACTATTTAATTTTTTTACCCCTTTTTGAGCTTCTATTATATAATCTGGATTTCTAATAGGCATATGTCTATTATGCCGACTATCCAAGATTTCTGGCAGCATGCAATTATAATAGAAATTTGTTAAAAAGGGTAGCATTTTATTACTCCAAAAATCATTATTCTTTATAACACGTATTATTTTTAAGCTTTTTGGCGTCCACATAGTAAAAACACAATATTCTCGCCGCGTTATATTTAACTGGCCTTGAATTTGATAGAAATATTTATGATTTTTATTCATTTGTTCTGAATTTTTCTTATCAAAGATGTTCTTTAGTGGAGTCATCTTTATAGCTTCTTCAGCTGTTAAGTTCTTAGCTGAGTGCGGACATTTTATTTCTACCAGACCGTCTTCATCTATAAGTCCATCTGGAGAAGCACCCAAGTATGGATGTTCAATATCAATGAATAATCCACAAGGTTTAATCTCTTTTTTTTAGTATTTCGACTAATTCTTTTCTCGCAATTGGTTCTTTTTCGCGACCATATTTTATTGCCTCGGTTTCAATAGCAGAAGGATATAAAATATTTTTCACAGGCAATGCGCAAGACGTTTTCATTCTTTTACAACATACGGTTCCAAAATTAGATGCCGTTAACATTTTACGTCTCAATTGTAGCCATTGTTGTGATTCATTTTGTTTTGTAGTGTCGCGTTCAATTTTTTGCCAATTTTTTGCATTTTCGGACAATTTTTTAAAATGATTTTGTCGAAATTGCTCGATTACATCGGACGGTAGATCCGGTTTTTGCGAGTGTGGACCATAATAAGAGTCTGTTCCCGATTTTTGTTTGAATTTTTTTGATCTTCCTTCTATTTGTCGATACTCTTTATTTTTCTCTAATTTTTCTCTTCGGCGCTTCTCCAACTTCTCGACAATAGGCGGAACAGTCTTATTCATGCTTTTATGTACTTCTGTAATTACTTGTTGCGTATTAAATTGCAAAACTGCCCCCGCAACTCTAGCATTGTAACCACCTTTTTTATTAACAAGAATACGTTTGCCGCCAATTTGTGCGCAGATCGACGAATTAAATGACTCTGTAATGTTATTCGTATAATTTAACAATAAGCTGTCAGAGTAACCACTTATATACTCGACAGCTTCTTCTATTTCTAAATAGAGACCATGTGATTTTAAAGAATCTATATAATTTTCTTCTCCATCGCAAGTCTCTTTGCCACGTTCTTTGCATTGCTTGTGATCGCCAAAAACATGCCTAGGAATGTTTAAAATATCTGTTTGTAATTCCATAGCCTGACGATGTTGAGGTTGCCGTTCTTGTCTTCGTAGAGCGGCTGCCTCAGTTATTTCCTTTCGTATTTCTAAAATTTTGTTTTTTATTACATTTCGCACTTGTATTAAGCCAGGCCGTCTGGATGTTTTTGGCCGAGTTTTCTCTGCTACAGTTTTAATTTTTTTACATAAATTACGTAGCAGATGATTCGTGCATTCTATTTTGGTAACTGTTATCATATGTTCTCCGTATGGATTATTATTTTTAATACTTTGGTATACGCTACTGTCACCGTCAGCAACAAGCGTTTTAAAAATTAGACCATGCATTTCGAGGCTACAATTAAAACCTTCTGCAATGGCATCGCTCTCCATTTTTGTGGAGCTTACGTTGCGATCAAAATTTTTATAGCAATTGTGAGTTTTCGGCTCGATACCTCTTCGCTCTGCCATATCGCATATTATGCAATATTTATTTTTAACACCGACGTAGAGAACCTTTCTCGTGCGGTAACCAATTATGGCTCCAATACCGGCAGGAGAGTCGTACGTGGTACCATACGATCTTTTCATCCAACTACCATCCGCTACAACTGTTATATACGGAATACCGTTTATAACTTCGTTGTTATCAAGAGCGATTTTTTTTCAATTTCACCAGCCGTTTTCATATTTTCTATAGATGTGTTTACAAACTCGTCGACTAATTTGTCTCTACTCTTGATGTACATTGGCTCGGACATGCTAGGAACATTCATGACTGCAAGCTGCTTTTCCAGCTGGGCATAACAGTTCCCACAGTAAGTGTTCCTGCTACAGCAGCCGTATTAATGTCCATTATTTCCGGTTTTGTGGGTTCTGACCAAATGCTGGCTTTTGTTTTGCACATTTTACATTGGAAGAACAGCTGGGTTTTCAACCCACATTTTTCAGACTTTATAAGTAACAAATTTTCAATTGACGAGCAGTCCAGTGCTTTATTATGTCTGTCAAAGATTCTGTGCAGCTCAGTCCATATAAAAGAGAAGTCCATAATGCGACGGCCTGCAGGCAAATTTTCTTTGATATCATCTTTATCAATAGAGCTCTTTTTAATTTTTTCTATAACATAATATTTGTCATCTTCGACACCATTTTCTACATTGCATATATCTGTATTTGACTCTAGACATCGCATTACTTGAATATTAGAATCCATTGTATCGGTAAATGATTCTACCGATTTTTCAAAATCAATGGATTTATCATAATGCATGCTTTTGGAGTCATTGGAATCATTAATATACATGCTTTCGAAACATTTATCTATGCCAAGTTTAACATTTTGCTTTACAGAATACATAGCTGTATTTGACTTCTGATACAGCATTGATTGGATTTTCGAATCCGTCGTATCGGGAAATAATTCTTCCGATTCGACGGATTCGCTAGTATCCTCAACGCTTCTCGAGTCAATTAACTTTTCGTTATCGTCGAAAAGACGAATATCTTGTTCGACATACATGCATGTATTTGACTCGAGACACTGCATTGTTTTGATATTTGAATTCGTCGTATCGGGAAATAATTCTTCCGATTTGTTTAAATCGACGGATTCGCTAGTATCCTCAACGCTTCTCAAGTCGATTAACTTTTCGTTATCGTCCAAAAGACGAATATCTTGTTCGACATACATGCATGTATTTGACTCGAGACACTGCATTGTTTTGATATTTGAATACGTCATATCGGGAAATAATTCATCCGATGTTTTAAAGTCGACGGATTCCATACTAACATCTTCAATGCTTCTCGAGTCTAATTTATTAGCTAATCGAACATCTTGTTCGACATTATACATACCTGTATCACTTACAATTTGACACATCTCCGACAAGTTTTTTACGTCTTGCTTTGTCTTCTCACTGATAAGTAACTGTCGCCTGCAAGAAAACATTTATTGATAAGTATTTTGTTAAATATTATTATAAAAATTATAAAAAAATATTTATAAATATTTTTGAAAACAAAATCTTTTAAAATAAATCTTTATTTTAATTAAAATAAATGTGAGACGACCCAACTGGCTTAAATTAATTCTTATTATTATTAGTTTGATGCCATGTACAAGAAAAGACAACGTTTCGACCTTAGGTTTAGGTCCTTATCAAGTCTAAAATTAATATTAAAAAATACAATAGATGTACATACAAGAATTTTGATTTTTAAGAAAGTAAAGCGCAAACCAAGATTATAATAACAATTTAAACGTACCTTACAAATTCTTTAGTGCAATATATAATTAATTTTTTTCATTTTACATATTTCAATATAAATACTGTGTCACGTAAACGTTCAGTATGGATGGTAAAGACGAACTAAATTAAACAGCTTTGATTATTCTATCATAGATCGGATTCAAATTCTCTGTGTCTTTCTGTAGGTTGATCGTGTTATTAAATTTTTTTATAAAAAACATTTCAGCAATCTCTCTTTTCCTAGTGTTTGTTTCTCGATGTAAAATATTTAAGTTTGTCCATTTAAAGTCATGCGAAAAATCATTTCTATGTTTGCTTATAACATTTTGATTGCTGACATGCATTTTTATATTATTCATATGTTCTTTAATCCGAGTATTAAGGTGTCTTTTAGTTTGTCCGATGTATGTGGCGTCACAGTCATTGCGGTCAACTTTATAAACTATCTCGGTCATATCGGCTTTAGGTAATTTGTCTTTTCGGGGTTTAATATAAAAATGCATGTCAGCAATCAAAATGTTATAAGCAAACATAGAAATGATTTTTCGCATGACTTTAAATGGACAAACTTAAATATTTTACATCGAGAAACAAACACTAGGAAAAGAGAGATTGCTGAAATGTTTTTTATAAAAAAATTTAATAACACGATCAACCTACAGAAAGACACAGAGAATTTGAATCCGATCTATGATAGAATAATCAAAGCTGTTTAATTTATTTCGTCTTTACCATCCATACTGAACGTTTACGTGACACAGTATTTATATTGAAATATGTAAAATGAAAAAAATTAATTATATATTGCACTAAAGAATTTGTAAGGTACGTTTAAATTGTTATTATAATCTTGGTTTGCTCTTTACTTTCTTAAAAATCAAAATTCTTGTATGTACATCTATTGTATTTTTTAATGTTAATTTTAGACTTGATAAGGACCTAAACCTAAGGTCGAAACGTTGTCTTTTCTTGTACATGGCATCAAACTAATAATAATAAGAATTAAATATAAATTTAACGTATAAGACGGGCAACAAGAGCCAAATCGCGGATGACAATGCGTTATCCTAACGAAACTAAATAATTCTTCGTTAGAATTAAATACCGGTGCACAAGGCACCAAATTTTTACTTGGACACGGCCAAGATTTTAAATATGAAATAATCTCATATTTTGAGATTTAATTTCAATACCCCTTTAACCCCCCTACGGAAAATAAATAAATGAATGCAAGAGAAAAATATAGATCCGAAAATCGCTGAATCGGGAATCGAACCCGAGACCTTTCGCTTGCCGGGCGACTGCTCTTCCAGCTGAGCTATTCAGATCCTTTCGATTCTATACTTTTCTCTGTTATATATATTAATGTTGGTAAACAAACGCATTTTTTAAGCCAGCGTGTATCAAATATAAGAGTTTTAACAAGGCTCTGTAATATAAATATAAATTTAACGTATAAGACGGGCAACAAGAGCCAAATCGCGGATGACAATGCGTTATCCTAACGAAACTAAATAATTCTTCGTTAGAATTAAATACCGGTGCACAAGGCACCAAATTTTTACTTGGACACGGCCAAGATTTTAAATATGAAATAATCTCATATTTTGAGATTTAATTTCAATACCCCTTTAACCCCCCTACGGAAAATAAATAAATGAATGCAAGAGAAAAATATAGATCCGAAAATCGCTGAATCGGGAATCGAACCCGAGACCTTTCGCTTGCCGGGCGACTGCTCTTCCAGCTGAGCTATTCAGATCCTTTCGATTCTATACTTTTCTCTGTTATATATATTAATGTTGGTAAACAAACGCATTTTTTAAGCCAGCGTGTATCAAATATAAGAGTTTTAACAAGGCTCTGTAATATAAATATAAATTTAACGTATAAGACGGGCAACAAGAGCCAAATCGCGGATGACAATGCGTTATCCTAACGAAACTAAATAATTCTTCGTTAGAATTAAATACCGGTGCACAAGGCACCAAATTTTTACTTGGACACGGCCAAGATTTTAAATATGAAATAATCTCATATTTTGAGATTTAATTTCAATACCCCTTTAACCCCCCTACGGAAAATAAATAAATGAATGCAAGAGAAAAATATAGATCCGAAAATCGCTGAATCGGGAATCGAACCCGAGACCTTTCGCTTGCCGGGCGACTGCTCTTCCAGCTGAGCTATTCAGATCCTTTCGATTCTATACTTTTCTCTGTTATATATATTAATGTTGGTAAACAAACGCATTTTTTAAGCCAGCGTGTATCAAATATAAGAGTTTTAACAAGGCTCTGTAATATAAATATAAATTTAACGTATAAGACGGGCAACAAGAGCCAAATCGCGGATGACAATGCGTTATCCTAATGAAACTAAATAATTCTTCGTTAGAATTAAATACCGGTGCACAAGGCACCAAATTTTTACTTGGACACGGCCAAGATTTTAAATATGAAATAATCTCATATTTTGAGATTTAATTTCAATACCCCTTTAACCCCCCTACGGAAAATAAATAAATGAATGCAAGAGAAAAATATAGATCCGAAAATCGCTGAATCGGGAATCGAACCCGAGACCTTTCGCTTGCCGGGCGACTGCTCTTCCAGCTGAGCTATTCAGATCCTTTCGATTCTATACTTTTCTCTGTTATATATATTAATGTTGGTAAACAAACGCATTTTTTAAGCCAGCGTGTATCAAATATAAGAGTTTTAACAAGGCTCTGTAATATAAATATAAATTTAACGTATAAGACGGGCAACAAGAGCCAAATCGCGGATGACAATGCGTTATCCTAACGAAACTAAATAATTCTTCGTTAGAATTAAATACCGGTGCACAAGGCACCAAATTTTTACTTGGACACGGCCAAGATTTTAAATATGAAATAATCTCATATTTTGAGATTTAATTTCAATACCCCTTTAACCCCCCTACGGAAAATAAATAAATGAATGCAAGAGAAAAATATAGATCCGAAAATCGCTGAATCGGGAATCGAACCCGAGACCTTTCGCTTGCCGGGCGACTGCTCTTCCAGCTGAGCTATTCAGATCCTTTCGATTCTATACTTTTCTCTGTTATATATATTAATGTTGGTAAACAAACGCATTTTTTAAGCCAGCGTGTATCAAATATAAGAGTTTTAACAAGGCTCTGTAATATAAATATAAATTTAACGTATAAGACGGGCAACAAGAGCCAAATCGCGGATGACAATGCGTTATCCTAACGAAACTAAATAATTTTCGTTAGAATTAAATACCGGTGCACAAGGCACCAAATTTTTACTTGGACACGGCCAAGATTTTAAATATGAAATAATCTCATATTTTGAGATTTAATTTCAATACCCCTTTAACCCCCCTACGGAAAATAAATAAATGAATGCAAGAGAAAAATATAGATCCGAAAATCGCTGAATCGGGAATCGAACCCGAGACCTTTCGCTTGCCGGGCGACTGCTCTTCCAGCTGAGCTATTCAGATCCTTTCGATTCTATACTTTTCTCTGTTATATATATTAATGTTGGTAAACAAACGCATTTTTTAAGCCAGCGTGTATCAAATATAAGAGTTTTAACAAGGCTCTGTAATATAAATATAAATTTAACGTATAAGACGGGCAACAAGAGCCAAATCGCGGATGACAATGCGTTATCCTAACGAAACTAAATAATTTTTCGTTAGAATTAAATACCGGTGCACAAGGCACCAAATTTTTACTTGGACACGGCCAAGATTTTAAATATGAAATAATCTCATATTTTGAGATTTAATTTCAATACCCCTTTAACCCCCCTACGGAAAATAAATAAATGAATGCAAGAGAAAAATATAGATCCGAAAATCGCTGAATCGGGAATCGAACCCGAGACCTTTCGCTTGCCGGGCGACTGCTCTTCCAGCTGAGCTATTCAGATCCAGCTTCTGGAAGAGCAGTCGCCCGGCAAGCGAAAGGTCTCGGGTTCGATTCCCGATTCAGCGATTTTCGGATCTATATTTTTCTCTTGCATTCATTTATTTATTTTCCGTAGGGGGGTTAAAGGGGTATTGAAATTAAATCTCAAAATATGAGATTATTTCATATTTAAAATCTTGGCCGTGTCCAAGTAAAAATTTGGTGCCTTGTGCACCGGTATTTAATTCTAACGAAAAATTATTTAGTTTCGTTAGGATAACGCATTGTCATCCGCGATTTGGCTCTTGTTGCCCGTCTTATACGTTAAATTTATATTTATATTACAGAGCCTTGTTAAAACTCTTATATTTGATACACGCTGGCTTAAAAAATGCGTTTGTTTACCAACATTAATATATATAACAGAGAAAAGTATAGAATCGAAAGGATCTGAATAGCTCAGCTGGAAGAGCAGTCGCCCGGCAAGCGAAAGGTCTCGGGTTCGATTCCCGATTCAGCGATTTTCGGATCTATATTTTTCTCTTGCATTCATTTATTTATTTTCCGTAGGGGGGTTAAAGGGGTATTGAAATTAAATCTCAAAATATGAGATTATTTCATATTTAAAATCTTGGCCGTGTCCAAGTAAAAATTTGGTGCCTTGTGCACCGGTATTTAATTCTAACGAAGAATTATTTAGTTTCGTTAGGATAACGCATTGTCATCCGCGATTTGGCTCTTGTTGCCCGTCTTATACGTTAAATTTATATTTATAT